TACAGAAAACAATGAGAAATAAATATAAAAGACTAATGAAATGGATAAATGAACATTTAATATCACTTATACCTTTACTGAAGACTCTTATTGGTGTATGGAAAATGGTGAGGAGGGGAGAGGGAGGAGAGGTTATCTCTACCACCATCACTACCACTATCACAACACTACCACCCTCTACCACCCTCTACCACTATCACTACCACCCTCTACCACCATCACTACCACCCTCTACCACCATCACTACCACCCTCTACCACCATCACTACCACCCTCTACCACTATCACTACCACCCTCTACCACTATCACTACCACCCTCTACCACTATCACTACCACCCTCTACCACCATCACTACCACCCTCTACCACTATCACTACCACCCTCTACCACTATCACTACCACCCTCTACCACTATCACTACCACCCTCTACCACTATCACTACCACCCTCTACCACCATCACTACCACCCTCTACCACCACCCTCTACTGACAAGAAACAAAGCCAGACTGACTCAGAATGCGCGAGATTCTTTGTGTGGGAATGGGCGGACACATTTGGTATGGCAGACCACTGTCAACTCTATGAAAACTGAAGTGATGAATGAAAACTGGGACAAAATTTTGACGAAAAAAATTGTCAAAAACCGAATTTGATGAAAACCAGGGCAAACGAAAACCGAGGATCCACTGTAACATGGAAAATGTATAAATCTGTAGGGCAAGGAAGGCAGGATAGGGGTTGTCCTCAAAAAGGATGGAGGGAGGGGGTAAAGGAGGTTTTGTGGGTGAGAGGCTTGGACTTCCAGCAAGCACGCATGAGCATGTTAGATAAGAGTGAACGGAGAAGAATGGTTTTTGGGACCTGACGAGCTGTTGGAGTGTGAGAAGGGTAATGTGTGAAGGGATTCAGGGAAACCAGTTAGCCGGACTTGAGTCTTGGAAATGGGATGTGCAGTGCCTGCACTTTAAAGGAGGGGTTTGGGATATTGGCAGTTGGGAGGGATTTCTAAACTGTCATATCTGAGCCCCTCTGCAGAGAAAGTGATTATGTATGAGTGATGTTGAAAGTGTTGAATAGTGATGAAATTATTTTTTCTTTCTTTTTTGGGTCACCCTTCCTCAGTGGGAAACAGTTGATGTGTTTAAAAAAAAAGAAAAAAAAACTCAAGATGTTTCCGTGTTTTAAGGAGTATCGTACCTTGAAACAGTTGTAATGTCATAAGATTTCCCTATACATAGCGTTAGAAGACCAAAGCAGTAAAAATGCAATACAGGTCTCCCTCAACATTCACGTTTTCAACTTTCACGGGCTTCACACATTCGCGAATTCCCAACCGCCAAATTCCCAGCCACCAAATTCCCAGCCGCCAAATCATATTTAAGTTTCCCGCCACCTGTGAGTCCCTACTACCCTCCCTCTGATCCCCGCAACTGGCAGCCAGCCCTCCCACCACTCAGTGTGGTGAGTGTTTTGTTTGTTCATTATTTGCTATTAAACTACAGTATAAATAATGTAAACCCATTCATGACTGCATATTGGAATGGCTATTAGGAAAGGTATTAGACGGTGACATCATGTGTTTACTCTTGAACACTGCAAAGAATTAAACATTTCTGCTACAGCTAATAATAACAATAGTAATAATAGTAATAATAATAATAATAATAATAATAAATATGATTGAAAAAGGAAATTGTACAAAAATATGAGGGAGTGGTTGACACATGGTCAGTGTGACTTTGTTTATGCTGGAGTGAACATTAGTCTCCCGGCTCTTCCAAACATCTCACAATAATTCATTGTGTTTGGTGCTTGTAGATTGAGTGTGACTGGAGTGGTATAGGCAGTGATTGAGGCAATGGTATTTAATAACATACATGTTAATAATAATAATACATGTTATTAATAATATGTACTATTATTATTTATAGCATATGTTATTAAATACATACATGTTAATAGTAATACATGTTATTAATAATAACATGTACTATTATTATTTATAACATATATGTTATTAAATACCACTGCCTCAACTGCTGAATTATTGTGAAATGTTTGGAAGAGCAGGGAGACTAATGTTCACTCCAGCATAAACAAAGTCACACTGACGATGTGTCAACCACTCCCTCGTATTTTTGTACAATTTCCTTCTTCAATTATATCGTATTTATTATTATTATTATTATTATTATTATTATTATTATTATTGTTATTATTATTATTATTATTATTATTACTATTGTTATTATTAGCAATAGCAGAAATGTTCGATTCTTTGCAGTGTTCAAGAGTAAACACATGATGTCACCGTCTAATACCTTTCCTAATAGCCATTCCAATATGCAGTCATGAATGGGTTTACATTATTTATACTGTAGTTTAATAGCAAATAATGAACAAACAAAACACTCACCACACTGAGTGGTGGGAGGGCTGGCTGCCAGTTGTGGGGGTCGGAGGGAGGGTAGTAGGGACTCGCAGTGGTGGAGGCAGTGGTGGTCTGTGGTATTTAATAACATACATGTTATTAACATACATGTTATTAAATAACATACGTTATTAAAGCATAACATGTATATATTTAGTACAATTTATGACGTTTTCATGTATTTTATGATTATTCATGGTTCAACAAGTTAAGGAAGCAGTATTGTAATATATTTCCCTACAATATATTGGGGCACCAAACATTCACGGTTTTTCAACATTCGCGAGGCTCTTGATCCCCTAACCCTCGCGAATGTTGAGGGAGACCTGTAATTATTTGTACCAGTTAATACCATATTTACCACATGGGGGCAAGTCAGTATCATAAACTAGTATACAGGTGGGCCTTGCTTTACAGTGCTTTGCATCTCACTGACACTGGTTTTCAATTATACCCATTCTTCACTTACTCAGACTTTCTACAGTAAATATATTCACCACTCACTATAAGCGATGGTGAAAATAGTTTAAGGAAAGTAATGCGTGTACTGTATATGTATTTTTTAGGCCTAGCTATATTCACTAAATATATCATAGTGTAAACATGTTATCAGCCTTTTATATGCATTTGAAAGTGAAAGAAGGCTATGATTCATTTTACAGCTTTATAAGCAGGGCCTGCCTCTATGTAGTTAACCCTTTCAGGGGTCCAGACCCACAATCTGAAACTTGTCGACAGGGTCCAAGAATTTTCAAAAAAAAAAAAAAAAAAAAAAAAAATCTGATGAAATGGTATAGAATCTTTTTCTGAAGGTAATAAAACAAAAAGTATGAAATTTGATGAAAAAGTGACAAAATTATGCTATTGCTAATTTTATTGTGTCAGCAATATTTATGCATCAGTGATTTTGCCCACTTTGACTCCTATTTTAGGCCAATTACATTTTTGCAGTTGACAAAATTCTTACCTATTTTGCTAGTATGCCTTTTATTTTATTGATTGAGCACAAGAAAGTGCAAGAAACTGCCCAATCAATTATTTCAGTTACCCAATAAAGTAATCAGAAATTGGTAATTTGGCCAGTTTGAAACAAATTTCAAAATATTCCAATTTCAAAATAGGGTCCAGAATAAACTATGCAGGCATTCCTGGCACTAAAATAACATTTCCTCTGTTTTAGTTATGTTCCCAGACTTTACATATAAATTCCATTTTGATTTTTTATTCACTCAAAGAATTTTTAATTACACAAAAAATAGAAGATTTATTGTTATGTAATATTGTAATAATTGTATAAATAATATCAGTGCATTTGTGAACACATATTAGACCCACTAGTTGATGTGTATTGGACGCATGACTTGATTTATTTGCTCTTGAACATTGGCAAAAATCGAACATTTCCGCTTCTTTGAGCTCAATTTCAAGCTATTTTCAGTACTCAAAACCATCAAAATCATCTCTGTTTCTGTAATATATCTTCCATTCTGTCAAATGAGACCAAAAAACTGAGAATACAACCATAAAAACTATATGAAAATACTCTGCAAAGTTGCTGTTTTAAATGAAAAACACGATCAGTTATTGTGTCCTCATTATGCACTGTGTACTGCAAGATTTATTTTCTGTTGTGCACACTGTATCAACCCACTCTATCATATTTAGTTCCAAATTCAGCACTCACAGCTTATCTGAGTGAGCTGAGCTCATCACGTAGTACTACAACATGGACCCTGGCTTCACAACTATAGTACTATGGCACAGAACCTGAAAGGGTTAAACATTGAGAAAATTGAAAAAATAATTATTTGGTGCCAATCAATTGTAAAGCATACAGTATATACAGGTCCACATCCCTTTATCCGAAGTTCTGAAACTCGAAAAGTTCCGAAAACCGAAGTTGTTTTTTTTTTTGTGGAGTGTGGAGCATCAGTCATCTCTCTGCTGGGTCATGCCGCCACGTGGTGGCATTGAGAATTATTCTGATATTCAAAAACGTCTGAAATTCAAACAATATTGGCCCCAAGGGTTTTGGATAAAGGGATGTGCACCTATTCCACTAAATGCATTTGTGCTGCTGTTGCTGACAAGTGATCATTTTTTTGCTAATTTCACCATACCATAAAATTGTAAGTTATTATTTGAGTTTTTTATTCAACTTAAAAAAAATGCTTCAAAAAATGAAAACTTTGCAACACATACACAGGAATTTTTTATTTCCAGGTATACATAACAGTTTAAAGGGTTAAAGCTGCCTAACTAAAATGTCAAAATTTCAATATTAGAAATGATCTGTAAGCAACTACAGCACTATAAAATTTCCCTCTTCAGATTAATGTTATCTTGTAGAAAATGCTGTTCTGTCTTCATGGATAAACAATTAACATTTTATATAATGTTAGAAGCTATATGTAGTAGATTTCTTTGCATCCTTTTCAATGTGGCAAGATTTATTTTAACCAGTTGTTCCTTTTAAAATTTTTTCTTGGTAATATCTTCCATTTCTTAGAAAAAAATCATGAATTTTGTAGCTCATGTAATGCATGACTCATTGGTGGTTCATAGGTTGCATGTGAGGTGGAGGGTAAGGAGGGATTGCATTCCCTTCCACTGCCCATAGACTCACCCCACATGCATCCAGTGGGAGGTGTCCTCACCATCGTGGTCACTCCCCCATTACCACCGCTGAGCCAGGCCTTGCTGTCACACACTCAGGTAAAACTGCACTTCAGCTGTAAAATTTGCTCCATAATGCAGGTTCTGCATTATGTTGCAACATAGTTATTAAAAAATGTATTTATGTGATTTAGCATGCACTATTTTGTAGACATGAATAGAGTAGGAGCATGCACAAGCCCATCTACACTTACAGCCCTTACATTTACCTGTAAATAAGCACAGTACTATATGAAATATGAGCATGCATGTGCAGTATATGAATGTGTTCATTATGCTGGCTCTCTAATATTCTTCTCAAGTTTGTGTGAGAGTGTGGGGGGGGGTGATTGATTCACATTCTACCTGTTTCTTTGCCTGCTGTCATTTCTCCCTGTTTGTACCTCTCTATTCACTCTCTCTCTCTTTTCTCTCTCTCTTTTCTCTCTCTCTTCTCTTCTCTCTCTTTCTCTCTCTCTTTCTCTCTCTCTCTTTCTCTCTCTCTTTTTCTCTCTCTCTTTCTTCTCTCTCTCTTTTCTCTCTCTCTTTTCTCTCTCTCTTTTCTCTCTCTCTTTTCTCTCTCCTCTTTTCCTCTCTCTTTTCTCTCTCTCTCTTTTCTCTCCTCTCTTTTCTCTCCTCTCTTTTCTCTCTCTCTTTTCTCTCTCTCTTTTCTCTCTCTCTTTTCTCTCTCTCTTCTCTTCTCTCTCTTTCTCTTCCTCTTTTTCTCTTCTCTCTTTTTCTCCTCTTTTTTTCTCTCTTTTTTTCTCTCTCTCTTTTCTCTCTCTTTTTCTCTCTCTCTCTCTCTTCTCTCTCTTCTTTCTCTTTTTTCTCTTCTCTCTTTTTTTTTGTTTTTTTACACAGGGTTTGACAAGGCTAAGGATCCCTAGCTTTATTGACAAGCTATTTACAGGTTAAGGATTCCTAACTTTAATGACAAGCTAAGAGCTATTACCACATTAGCTCATTTGAAAGCATTTTTTATTTGTTTTGACATATGTTGGGACAGTGAATTTAGCTTTCTTGGCCAGCATTTTCATTTGATCAACTGACTTTATCTCGTTGACATCATAATGCTGTACGAATGCGTTCCAGACTCGAGTCATTCTGGGGATAAATGATCTCAGATGATGTGATGTTCTGGAGAAGGGCACAGCCAGGGTGAAGTTGATGCTTTCTGCCTGTCTTGTGGTATAGAAGCTTGCTTCACGCTGTCCTCGAAGTGGATCCAAGTGTGGTACTTTGACAATATTGGCCTTGTACATAACAGTAAGGCCACCAACATCCCTCCTGTCTTGAAGGCTCTGCTGAAATGACAGATCTATCCAGGATTGGTCCAGGCGAGAGATGAGACATCTTGCTCTTTTCTTTACTCTGTCAAGCAGTCGCAGATGAGAAGGGGGGCAGGCGAACCAAGAAAGTGGAGCATACTCAAGGTGTGAGCGTACTTGTGCCTCGTACAAAATCTTGCAACCCCTACTGTCAAGCAGATGCGAGATACGGCGAAGTGCTGTAAGCTTCTTGGCTGCCTTGTTTGCAAGATTTACAGTGTGGTTTTTTCATGGTCAGTTTGGAGTCGAATTTCGCCCCAATGATATCAACTTCTTCCCCAGGTGCCAACACCCTCCCATTCATCCTTACTACTGCACTGGCATTACCATCATGGTGCCTAGAGATCATCTCAGGTGCAAATGTTACTTGCCATCGATTTCCGCAACCTGATATAGCTCTTAGCTGGTGATTGCTGTAGCTTAGAGCAGCTGGCATTTCTTCTCTTGGATAAGTGAATATCAGTGTACAGTTGTTTGCACATGCCTGGGATTCTGGGATGAAATGAAGAAGGTCATTGAAGTAGACATTCCATAACAATGGTCCCAGAACGCTTCCTTGTGGAACACTTGCCCCAATAGGATGTCTTGCTGATTCCTTTCCATTGAGAACTACCCTTAGAAATCTACCATGAAGGTAATCACTGAGGAGACATAGCATAGAGCCTGCAATTCCCAGAGCTTGGACCTTTGCTAAGAGGCCCTGGTGCCACACCCGGTCGAAAGCACCAGCAGTGTCCAGTGCTACCACACAGCTGACTTTGGATTCATCCAGAGACTGGTGCCGCTTAGTGGAGAGGTTTAACAACAGATCAGCAGCAGAGTAACCTTTCCTGAAGCCATATTGATGGTCACAAAGTAGTGAGTGGTAGTAAAAACAAACTGTCATTTGTCTTGAGATTGTCTCAAGGATCTTACCAGTGATTGGCAGGAGTGACACTGGTCTGTAGTTGCTGATTTCTGCTCTGCACTTCTTTTTGTGAACAGGGACTACATTTTGCCTCTTTCCATAGAGAGGGCCATTTACACTGTACTAGGCAGTGCTGAAAGATGCGAGTTAGAGGTGCTGCTAGCTGGTCTGCACATCTTCTCAGCAATCTTGGGCTCAACTTGTCTGGGCCCACAGCCTTTTCTTGGTCAAGCAATTTAAGAAGGAAATGCACCTCCTCCTGCCTTATTGTCACCACTGACAGTTTTGACACAGTTCTTGCAGCTAGCCAAGGAGAGTCCCTTGCTAGATCAGGAACTTGCATTTTGGTAGCAAAGTGTTCAGCAAAGAGGTCCGCCTTCTCCTGACTACTATTAGAGGTGGTCCCATCCTGTCGATTTAGAGGGTGGAAAGTTCATCAGGCAGATAACCTTGTCTGTCCTTGACCAGGGACCACCAGGTTTGGAGCCTACCCTTCCTGATGCTAGCTTTCTTTTAGTGTCCACCTCACATTTAGCAATGGCCCACTTTTGAACGTCACCCATATGCCTACAGGCTTGCCTGTGCAAGTTCCTGTTATAGGTGGTAGGATGTCTCTTGTACGTTCGCCATGCTTTGTACTTAGCAGTAGCAGCCTCTCTACAACGAAAGTCAAACCAAGGCTGATCTGTAGGCTTCGTCACATATTGCCAGTGAGGAATGTGTTCTTGTTGTAGATTAAGGATGTGTCCAGTGAAGGCTTTCATTTGGTTGTCAACATCCCCTTGGAGAAGAGCATTCCAATCAGTGGTGGCGAGCTCAGAGCAAAGGGCTGGCCAATTACCTCTTTCCGATAGCCAGGTTGTGCGTGTGGACTCCTCACCTCGTTCTGTTGGGATCTTAAGTGTTGTAAAAACAGCCT